GAGCCGAATACTCCCGGGTATTTAAATTGGTAAAGTATTTGAGATTTCTTAAACCCCAGCTCTATTATATTTAGTTTTATTTGATTGTAAAAACTATTATCCTACTACTTTCTATCCTTAATAATAATAATACTTAATATATATACTTTTAGTAAGATTCGTTACTATTTAATATATTAGTAGGGTACATACGGCCTTTCTAGGCTAGGAATTTCTAAAGCCTGATTATAATTCTTATTTAAAGCTTTAGCGCCCTTCGGGTTTTACTAGGCTAATATTTATACTTTAATATTTATTATAATTATCAATTTTATTATTTTTCTCTAAATTCCCTTCCGACTTTAGAATAATATAAATATATCAGATTTTAGCCTTCTTATAATCTTTAGATTAATAGGAAGGTAAGCCGTAAGTTATATAGGTACCATTCTTTTTCTACTTCTTCCGTTGAGTTTCTATTAGATTATTAATATTGGAGCTCCCTGCTGGGGTAGGCTGAATCCGGATAATAATAATATTTATTAGTTCTCTTCTATCAATATAGGTGACGTTATAGTTAGAATTAGAATTCCTATAGCTATAGCCCAACGCTATATTTCCCCTAAGAAAATTATTACTATTTAAATACCGAAGGAAATTATAGAGCTTTAAGTAATTATTTGGAGCTTTTAATTATTTATGGAAGCGCCTAGACTATTTATCGTTTAAGGAAAATATTAATGAATTGATAATAGTTTAATTTAACTATATATTAGTTTTGGCACTATAAAAGACTTTTTTTAAAATAAATAAGAAAGTAGGAAATAGATTCCTAGGATTTTTACTATAAATTAAAAAATTCGAGTCCGGCTTTCTTACTTTAATGAATTTTACTATAATTGAAATAGAACTTCTCGAACAACCTCTCTAATATTTAATTAATTAGAAAAGATTAGGTAGAGGCGAATAAGGTCCGGCGGATAGTAGGCGAAAGGCTAGAGTAGAAGTAATAAAATGAAATTTTTAAATCGCTAATAGCCTAATTATCAACGTATAATTTCGCTTCGGCTATATAAACTTATGTATTAAAGCCCTTTTCATTATTTATAAATTTATTAAAATAGGGGAGGACCGGCTTCGGTTAGTTGGAATTATTTATAATCGTTTAAAGACGGCCAATTTCGCTAATAAGGGTTTAAATAACTATAACGAACTATTATTAACATTCGGAAACGTTTTAACTTAAAGAATTGAAATTATAATATAATACGGTAAAGTAAAAGAGAGAAAAAAAAGTTGGTAATTAGAGAATACTCTTTAGGTAATTAGGGGGACTAATATAGTAAAAATAAAAGAAACCAGCGCAGCGAGTATATTAGAGACTATTAGAGGGAATTAGAAAAAGATTTAAGAAGAAGGTTGGTTATAATATAAGGGATCTACAAAGTATATACATAAGTAGGTCTTAAAAAAATTTATAATAATTAATAAAAAGGAAGAGGGAAGTTTGTACCCTACTAGTGCAAAACTTCCAATTAAATATATAGAAAGCGTAGGCATTAAAGGCACTAAAGATACTAAGGCTAGAAATATAGCCCGTGCGGCTCCCGAGGGATGTACCTAATAGTACGTAGTATATTTAGGCGCCAAGACGGCTGCTGACAGCCGACCAGCCCATACACCTAACCAGAGGGCACGCTTGGCTTATACCGGGTGTTAGCCAGGCAAACAATACCCCTGGGCGCCAGCCCCGTAACAGAATCCAACTAATTAGAATACTCGCATCCTTATTAATACGGCCGTTCCCGATTTAGCAGACTTAGCAAAGCCGAGTTTTTGATCCTGGGTGCTAGCCCTATAATAGAAGCTAAAGTAGACAGACTAAGTAAATAAGACTAAGATAAAATTACTACCTAAGTTCTAGAAACGTAATCTCTATTACCTAACCCCTCTATCTTACTATTAAATTCCTTTTTTGTCTAACCTTATTATTAATATAATTAATAAAATGTTTATATATATAAAATAGTTTTAAAAAGAGAAGACCCCCATATTCGTAGACCGGATCCGCTAAAGGTTGTCGTCGGGGGTTAATGTGGTAGAGACTAGAAGTGGGGTGGGCTTTGGAGGTTAAAGTAGGTCTAAGCACTAAGACTACATTGTATTGTACCTTCAGGGACTAACCCCACGCAGACATCGCCTAACCTTTATAGTAGACACTCATTAACGGAGCGATTCTACGGCTGTTCTCGTGCAACTGCTACACAGCACTGGCATTTCAATCGAAAGGAAAGTGACCATTCATAATACCAAACTGGTAAACACTGGAGCAAGTTTGGACTCGACTTGCACAACACAGCGTACATATGTAGTAGCTGTACAATACGGACAATCTTGAACCACAAATCCATCACGGCCTTACTCCGGTGATTTGTAGCACTCTTCTCCCTTTGACTTGTCCATTGTGTCTTCGTTCGAAACCTTCTCTCCCCAGCCGTTCTCTCTCCGGCGTTTTCGGCGGCGTCGCCACCGTCAGGCTGATGGGGCTTGCATCCTGTGCTTTGTGAGCGCCGGGACTGTTTCCCAATCTCCCGAGGTGGGTTCTGATGCTTGGTTTCGCATCGAGTATGACAGGTTCGTTGACTGATCCTCGTGAGGTGTTGAATGGCCCACATTCATCTCATTGTCGATGCCCGCCAAACATCCGGCAAGTAAGAGGTTACGCTACACCTGCCGGTCGGACGCCAATCTTCCAGCTACCAAGCGGCCAAGCGCAACCCTCCAGAAAATGCAACTTTTTGTTAAGAGTCTCCATGAAGCCTGGAATAGTCGCATTTACAGGGTTTTTACTATACAAGTTAGTAAGTCCAGGCCGCCAGGACACTTGCGTTTCTAGGTACCCCTGTATGGACTTGCACTTTCTGGGGGTTGCATTTACCATCGCTTTTTCTGTAAATATCAACAGTTCGTGTGTCATCTCAAAGTATTGTCACGATTGCCAGCTAATCTTGTTATCCACATCTTTACCATCTTAGATCCGTCCTTTGATCTTCTATAAAGACAGGGTCAGCGGTCTATGCGGCCTAAAGATAACTTGCGTGATACTTGATTTGTTCTTTTTAAATATCTCATTGAAAGTCGCTCACTGGCTCCAGCGTTGCAAGCGTCCCAGAAGCTACGCCATCACGCAATATGACCGACTGACAGCGGCTCTTTTACTTCGAATTAACTTTAAGGTCGATATTAGACGGGTCATATTTACCTATAACCTCCTTTGCTTATCTGCCATGCCTTGGCCCCTATACACAAATGTTGGGTGACACGGCACTCGGACAATGGCTGTTGAGCCTCTTGGAACTTATCGAAACCCTAACATCAAGACTTTCTCATTATGTGCTCAGGCTCGAGACGGTATCGAGAACTTGGAGGCCAAAGGTATCGCAGGCTCCAAGATTCTCTAGTCGATGGGGGATACCGGCTGCTGCGGGGTTTGAATTATGTAGATGGGCAGATTTGAGAAGATGGTGCAGATAGGACTAGCTACTGAAAGATTTTATGGAAGTATGCACTGGCAGTGTTCCCCATCAGGAAGGGCATTTATTCTAACTCCAATATATAGAACGTATACGCTCCCTATAAACCATTTGACTAAACACGGGGTTGTGGCACTTACGCACGAGATAAGCGAACAAGCTCTTCGACAAGCCAACGGTCAAGATTGTTTGTGTGATAGGGAAATAACAACACAGGCGAGAACTGGAGAATACCGTACAGGAGTCCAACTGGAGTCTTGATCGCTCCAGTGACCATTCGCAACATGATAGGAGCGGGCCAGAAAAGCTTCGTCGCGAACTGGCACCAGTGCCGGTCGGTTCTGAATCAGAAACCCATAGAAAGGAGCTGCGAAGCGATAGAACGAACGAGAAATTGTATAATCAGAGGACTAACCACAGGTTATATTGAAGCTTCTCATGATGCAAGCATTCCTGAAAAGATCGAGACCGGATTTCGACCTTTACTAACATAGCGGTCGCAAGTACAAACCAAACAGGGATGGATGGTCCGATAATGCTCGGTGTAATTGGGAAAGACCAATACAAAGCTGTAATAGGAATCTAGGAATTTAAAGACACACCGGCCAGAACCCATCAAGTGCCTCCAGGTAAGCCCTAGGAGTGGAGTTCAAGGTCTGATATACTGACCGTAACGTGTTCGGTTTATTTGTACCAATGTTCGCCAACGAGCTGTCAACAGCCTCCAAAAGCACACAGCTGTGAACCCTGCTGCTGACCACCATTCTCTCTCCGACTATGGCAGGTATGAGTGTCCCAACATCTGCTGGTTCGGGTTACCAATGCCTGACCATTTCCTTGTGGGTGGTGGAACTCATACACGGAGCACCTTCATAGCACGAGTGAACTTTAAACTCGATGGTACCGTTAAGGACGAGTGGTTCGTTGTTCCCTTACAAATATGAGTCGTACCTTTTCTTTGCAAGGTCTCGTGTGCCCCCCTTCTTCCTGCTTTTCTTCTTTACTTTCCGTTGCGGTTAACTGGCAGCCTGAGTAGTTCGAAGAAACCTCCCAAGCAAGGCCAAGGGGCATTTAGTTGTGACAGCCAGGGCGTTCCAGTTAGTTTCTCGTCTCAGGGGAGAGACCTGCAAGTTTCCAGAAACCACACATATCCATTGAACTCGTTGTTGCTCTTCTTTGTAGTAGTAGGTGGCTATGACCCGGATATACGTCTTTATAAGATCCGTTTCGCATGACTGATAATGAGAAAAGTGCCGAAAGGAACGCACCTGTGGGAAAGCCGAGCAACTAGAGCTTCTTGAGCCCCAACATCTCAGATACCACACCTTCATAGCATGGCTGGAGATGCCTTTCAACGAGACACAGCGTTGGGTTGCTTTGGGTCATCGGGTTGCTTGTATCTTTCCAGCGTGCCAGTTGACAATCAGCGCGCACGGTCCAGACGGGGACAGAGACGCACTCGTCGTTTCATGATCACATCATCATTCATCAGCGCCATCCACCAACCCTCCCCTCGTCCCATCTCTCCTTGCGTTCCTGCCGCAGGTAGTATAGCTTCTTGGCCTCCCTATATTTCCTGACCCAGTCGCTGGTCTCTCGCTCCGACGCAGGCGTGCCATCGCCACCACTATCGAGAAAACTTTCCTCGAGAGCACAACACACGGCCTCTTGCTCCTGCAAGCCCTGGCTGAGCCGTTGGTACAGCCGTACCGGGGCAAAGGGGGTGAGGGCATGGTCCATCTCGGCTTGTTTGGCCCGCCATTGGCGTTCAAGGGCGTGGGTCGACAGAAGCTGAGCTTGAGTCGATGATCGTCGGTTCGCAAGGCGTGCCTCGAGATTCAGCAGCTGAGCAGCCCGCTGGACGTTCTCAGCCAGCGCAGACTGCAATGTGTCGTGTGACGCCTGTAAAGAGGGGTGGATGGTTTCCGGTGAGTGTGTCAAGGCGGAGAGAAGCGATGAGTTGGAGAGGATCACGGCGAGATCGTCTTGCTTGCTATTCCAGCGATCAGATGGCGTCAGTCACTGGAGTACGAATTCGAACAATCGCTTTTGTAAAGGAAAAGACTCACGACTTGTCTTGGAGAAACTTAGGCAACCATTGCTCGCCGGGGTCCGAGATGGTTTGCCCGTTGTGGGTCAAGCCTCCTTGTTGAAAGCCATCGGCACCGGGACCCCCTGTCTCCGGACGTTCGGGGGGCCGCGGCGAGGGCGAGGTTTCCGCTATGTTTATGTGTGTCGCCTCGTGACTTCCTGATGGCTTGGGCGGCAGAAGAGGTGGTGTGTGAGAATACATCTGATTGTTTACAGCTGTTCAGGGACAGTGGAAACGTGTCTACCTATGTTTGGGATCCCAAGCTGCACCCACTACCTAGGTAGTCTCTCAAAATAGGCGTTCTCAAAAGAGAAGATTAGGAAGGGGAAAGGGAGGGCCGGGGGGAGAGCAGCGCCAAGCTTTAGCGCCAAGCTTTACACAGTAGTTTGGGTCTGCTTTAGCAAAAGTGGGCAGGCTGAGTGAAGAAGTAGTCTCTGTTACAGACCCCCTCTGCCTCCGTACCCCCCGCCCCACATGAAATGTGGGTCTCCTCGAACTTTGTAAGAGGAGGTCTGTGCCAATTTTGAGCATTTCGGCCGTCAAGCGCTGTAAATCCTATATAAACTAGAGTTTTTACTTTTTTTATATTTCTTTATAATAAATTAACGGAAAATAGTATAATTAAGAATAAGATACTCAGAAGCTAGTCCTTTTAAACTCTTTCTAAAAATATACTTTTTATAGAGCTCGGGCTAACCGTTATAGTAATGCAACCTTAAAGGTAAACCTTCGTTAGTAGCTATAGCTTAAGAACTTTTAGATACTCCTTAATCTAAAATTTGAAAATTATTATATAATGGAAAAAAATAGCACGTAGAGGATAGCTTTAGTAAGACGATTCTAATAGTACTATTTTTATAGTATACGGACCACCCGTTGAAGTAATATAACCTTAAGGGGGTAGTATTCTATTTTTCTACTTTTAAATTTTTTTTATTTTTAACCTTATTACTAGCCGTATAAATAAAGTAATTATATATAGAAAATCGTCTCAATAAGACGGTTCTAATAGTACTATTTTCATAAAGCACAGACTACCTATTAAGATAATATAGCCTTAAAGGGATAAAAGTTTTAAAGTTTAAAGCTTTGTATCTCGATAAATATTAGCCGTATAAGAAAATTAATACTACTATTGGAATTAAGGTGGAAAACTCTATATAAAAGGTATTTTTACTTAGTTATACTAATTTTATTAGAATTATAATATATAGTAATACTTAGTTATTCTTCTATAGCCTACGGCTAAAATGCTCAAAATTAGCTCAGACCTGCTATTGTAGAAACGGGTGGTGTGGAGTAGGGTAGGGTAGTTTCGGAGGTAGTAGGTCTAAGAATTGAAACTAGTGAAGAAGATAGTTATAGTTTTTATAACTTACTTAACTTCTAAAACCCACCCTACCCCCCGACCCTACCCCCTATTTTTATAGTAGTAAGTCTGAGCGGGTTTTAAAGTTTTTAGCCGTCGGCTATAGAAGAATAACTAAGTATTAATGGTAGTTTTAATTTTCGTATACAACTAATATTCGCTAAGATGTAAGGCTTTGAACTTTAAAGCTTTTACCCTCTTAAGGCTACTATTAGGCTTACTATATATATTATATAATAGTATATAGATATAACGGATTTACGAGTCTATATTATACCTTACGAGTATAAGTAATTATATATAAGTAATATAATATATATATATATACCTAGTTTTTTTGGTTGATTTTTATCGATTTTATTCGATTATATTACTATATAACTCTAACCCTAGTAGAGGGTAGTCTACCAGGCTCGCCAAGGCGGCCCAGAAACCTAGTGTAGCTTAGGGAGGCTTAGGGAGCCTCAAAGAGCTCTAGGGTGGAGGAAATCTCCCGGGTAGACAGGGGTCGAAATGAAAAGTGGAGACTTAATCTCGTTTAACTTATTGGTTTTACTACTACCCCCTTCGGCTATTTCCCAACGGAAATGAACAAATAGACTATCTCCGGAATCTCCGGAAGCCGAAGAATCCGACGGAAAAAACGGCTAGTCCGTAGAACTGCTGGTTGGTTCAGAAAGTCTATAAGAAGGAAGCCTTCCCTCGAGGAAGAAGCTTTCTTTCTTCTCTATAGTTACTCTTCTATATTTTTACTAATATAAGAGCTACGTATACAAACTATATACCGTTCTACTCGTCTTTGACTCTTCTATACGCCTATGCCTTAAGAAATTTCGATTTCCTACACTGCAACCATTTTCCTCCACAAAAGAAAGAAAGACTATTTCTATCTTATTATCCATCCTTCTAACTTTCTTATTAACGATACCGTCTTTACAACTACCGTCGTCGAAGATCCGGATTCCTCTTCTTCAGCTACATTACTCCAAAGGGTGGTCCGTGCTTTATAAATATGATATTATTAGAACCGCCTTAATAAGGACATTCTCTATACGGGATTAGTTTTCTCGTTATATTACAAACGAATTAATAAATTAAATAAATTTTAAGGTAGAAAAATAGAATACTACCCCCTCGAGGTTGCAGTATCTTAATAGGTGGTTCGAGCGTTATAAAAATAATATTATTAGAATCGTCTCGTTAAGGCTACCCTCACTATTCATTTTCTATAACTATAAAACTATTAATAAGATTAAAAATAAGCAGTGTCCAAAACCTTAAATGTAATTTAATAAGAAAATTCCTAAATTTCCATATTTATACTATATTATAACTTAAACTAGCTATAATAGCCTAAATTAACTAAGCTACTAGAAGCTTTCTTACTATATCGTACTGTACTTAATTTATGTTTCTAAATTACTATACTTAAACTACTTTATAACTTATATTCTAATTTATTATGTAATATATTTACTACATATAAATAGCTAGCTAGTAACCTCCTTCTTTCTTATAATATTTTCCTTTCTTTATTATATTTACTATTATATATAAAGGTTACCCTTTATATTAGATAGTAGCTACAACTCTACGGTAGTAACTATTGTAAGTAATATACTTCTTACGTCCTTATTCTAAGTAATCTTACTCAATCCAACTAAACAATCTTCTATTACGGATAGTAGCGTTAATCCTATTAATATAAGAAATATACAATATATAAATAAATAGTATACTCCCTACCTTAAAAAATTTACCTTCTAAAACTCCCAAGTAGGTACCGGGCTAGTTCCAGCCAGCCTTACCTACTTTACTAAGGCTATAAAGATTCTTGTAACCTTTATAACTACTTTACTAAGGCTACTATTTACTAAAAGAAGGGTAGTACCTTTTAGAAGCTTTGTAATTACTTACTTAATTAGACTATAAGGCTCTCTCCAACTAGCCTACTCCCTTCCTTAAGTATTACGCTTCCTACTTAGAATATTAAATATAAAGTTTTCTATAAGAATCCTAAATTTTTATACTAAGTAGTAATTATAATTAAACTATTAAACTAACTACCCACCTTAGAAATTGAAAGGAAGTAAGTATAAGGACTGGTTTCGATAATGAATTGGTTGTAAACGCTCTAAAATATTAGTCGGAATGGATAAGAAGATAAATAATATTTAGATTCTGATTGTGGAGAAAGATGGTTGCACGGTAGGCTTTCGAAGGTATATAGGTTGTGTAGAGGAGTCAAAGACGAGTAGAACGGTATGTAGTTTATATATATAGCTTTTATATTAGTAAAGATATAGAAGAGTATTTAAGGAGAAGAAACAAAGCTTTTTTCTCGAGGGAAAACTCTATTCTTATAGACTTTCTAAACTAACCGGTTGTCCTACGGTCCGGCCGTTTACTCCGTCGGATTCTTCGGCTTCCGGAGATTCCGAAGATGGTCTGTTTGTTTGTTTCCGTCAAGAAATGACTAACGGGAGTGGTAATGAAATCGATAAGGTTAACGAAGTTAAAAGATCTACGATATTTACCACTTATAATTTTGACCCCTGTCTACCCGGGAGGTTTCCTCTACCCTGGGACTCTTTGAGGCTCCCTAAGCCTCCCTAAGCTACACTAGGTTTCTGGGCCGCCTTGGCGAGCCTGGTAGACTACCCTCTACGAGGGTTAGGGTTATATAGTAGAATTTCAACTACAGATATATATAATCGAATAAAATCAATAAAAATTAACTAAAAATATTAGGTATATATATATATTATACATTACCCACATATAGTTGCTTATATTCGTAGAGTATTATATAGACCCGTAAATCCGTTATATATATATACTATTATATAAAATAGTCATTCCTTGGCCGGAGCCAGATGTGGCCAACGAAGACAGTAAAACGCCTATTATCTTAACTTAATAAATAGTAAAGTAATAAAAAGAATTCGATACTATTATTATTCTAATACTTATATATTTATATAAATTTTTTTTTATATATTTATATTGATTTTCCATTTTTAAATAACTTTTTTATTCTTTTATAAAATAAAAATTTAATTCTAAACTGGATTAAACAGACGACCTCTATAACGTTGGAGCAATATAATAACCATTAAGCTACTAAGCTTATTGGGTGACTAACTCAGATTATTGAAAAGGGATATCTTTTTCTTTGTTTATATTATTAAAAGGTTAAAAGAAAAAAGAAAAAAAAACTTTAAATAGAAAAATTTAAAAGTTTTTTTTTCTTTTACAGAATTTTCGATATTTCATTTTCAACCCTAACCCTAACCTTCTCTCTAGAAATTAGGGTTAAAGGTGTTATTATAACTAAAATTCTTCTTTTTACTTTCTTTTGCTTTTTTTTGACAACTAGAACGTATACTATAATACAACCGGTACTAAAATGACCGCCTTATTTTTCTCATTATTTTGATACCCTGTATACTTTAATACACGCGACGGTTGATAAGCAATTTCAATTGTAAAGGAAAAAGTGGCTTTTTGCAGTTGAAAGCACGGGCTTCGAGTTCAGCTCGATGTTCGAATTTCCTCTTTAGGATAGAGGGCTCCGCAATTAATAGTATTTGGACTGCTATAGATAGAACCGCCGCTCCTTCTTTGCTTCGAAGTGGGCCCATGGCACTACGACCTCTAGTGTGGATTTCTGCCACGAGTTTTGGGCCCGACAACGAATTTGTAAAGGAATGGGCGTTTCAAATATATATAGTAAGCCTAATAGAATAAAATTAGAAAACCCTATATTATCTTCTAGGTTTTTAATTTAGATAATACTCCCTTCGTCCTTATAATTATTAAATATACTATT